TTTGAAAACACCCCCTGATTGACCTATTAAAAAAAAGAAGGCTATAATGAGATCCAGCTTCCTGTAAATTTGTGGTAATTTTGTGCTTTTCGCTAGTTATGTTATTTATACAGTCCTGACTCCTGCACTCCAATATATAGTTATCCTCACAGCACTTCTTTGTGGTAAAATACAATAATCCCCACTTTACAAACGGGGAGCCATGGCAAAAGAGAGGCTTAGTGACTTGCCTGAGGTCATGCAGGCAGCCCATTATGGAGCAGGGAATTCAACCAGGACTCCCAAACAGCAGACAAATGCTCCAAGCCCTGAGCTGTCTGTCCTTTTGCTCCTATTTTAAAAGAGCTCAAAAGGTTCTATCCAGATTTCAGAGATGGTTCAGAGGTTATTGAGGGCAGTCTGGCTAAAATAACAGAATTGCTGGACCAAGTAAAAATGTGCTGCTTAGGTGCAGAGTTGCAATATCACTAGGATAAATAAAAGCTTTTCAGCTGGTAGCTCTGGTTTCCTCTCACTTGCGCCAGCTTGCTCTCTCATGCCCACACACATGCCCTCTCTGCAACTCACTTCTCTTCTGCCTCCGAGGAAGGACTCTGTAAAAGGAAATTAGTATAATTAAATTATGTAGGAAGCTTATGCTAAGTATTTACTTATATAAAATAATTGGAGGAGAAAGAAACTACGAGGTGGATTTCTTAGTGTTTGTTTTTTTGGGGTTTATTTTTATGAGCAGAGTATCGAGTGACAGAGATTTGGTCCTAGTAGAAAATGCTTGAAACACATTAGTCTGCTTTGGTATTAGAAAGATTAGAGGGCACACTGTGAGAATTTGTAAGGATTTCTTTGTTTTTTAGAAAGGATTAAGAATACAAAAAAACCCACCCAGATTAGAAAAGTTATCTACCCACATCACTACCCTACAAGCCAACATTTGCATGGTGGTTTTCTCTTATGTTTAATTCCACAATGTTTGTATTGCAACTTCAGCTACAGTTGGTTTTGTTTAAAAACCATAGCCTAGGTGTGCACAGCATGTGAAATTAAATGTTATGGGTTCATGTAGCATCCTTGAAATCTTATGTGGCAGCAAATTTGAAATATCCAAGAAAAAGATTTTAGGGATAGGCTCATTCTAGAAAGTAGCTTAAATAAAAGAAAAAAAAAATATCCCATACATTTTATAGCTTTTAAGTGTTTGCCTTCCTTCTGCCTGTCGAATTTTAATCTTGAACAGGATTTGCTTTCTGGAACATGATTTCTTTAAAATACTTGGACATGGTAGTTCCACAATAACACCAGACTGCACAATATGGAATTATTTATTTCTTTAGGAACATAATTGTTAAACATCCTCTAAGCTGAAAAAAAAATACTTCCTAATTATTTGCTAGATGCATCTTCAGCATATATAGCTAATTCAAGTCAGACTGCTAAATGTGGATTATTAGAGGCCTGTGTTGCAAGAAAAACTTCTTGTGGTGATTTTAGCTAATATTAATCTGTAAATTCAATCCTGTTTAGACATTTTATGTAGAAAAACATAAATGTATGCAATAATTGCTTATGGAAAAGACTAGTTATTTTTTTATCCTTTACAGTCTTACTATATTAGGCATCAATTTGTTGACAGTTTTTGGCATTTTACCAACATGCAGTAGAAATGTAGCCTGACCAGTAAGTATGGCAATCTTAGTTGTTGAGGATTTTTTTCTTTCTTTCTACTTCCTACACTCCTGTTTCTGTCTTTTTTTTTTTTCCCTATTTCATTTTGTGTAGAGCTTGATTGAATAGGCAGAGAGATCAGTGGAAAGATGGTATTGGGCTTTAGCTCAGTCTTTTGATCAGCAGATCTCTTCTAGCCACAGGACTTTTCATCCAGTGCAGCCCGAGATACCTGAGCCCAGTGATGCTCACAGGATGTGCGTATGTTGGATACAGTGTATTTTCCAGGCCTGCGCCAGTGGCTCTGTTTCCGGTACTCAGTGAATTTGGTTTTGAGGATACCCAGCATGGAGATTTCCATGTGTGAGCAGGTGCCATGTCTAACAAGTTCCTTAAAGTTGCCCTGCATAAGCAGTGCATTGTACCTAAGGACAGATACTTGAGCATTTTGTCCCTACAGAAGTCCTGTGAGTATCTGCAGTGTGTATAGTTTTCTTTCTTGCTTGTTTCAGCCATTATAATGGCATTGACCAAAACAGAGTTCCATTTGCATGAGTGAATATCAGCTTTGAATTGGATTCTGGATGTTGGTTCTTGGTTTTTTGTTGTTTTGTTTCCAAGTTTATTACTCTTACAGTATTATTTTTAAAACAAAATTTAGGGTGTATAAGCTTTTTTGATGTTGTTTTGGTTTTGTAAACTCTGTAAAGTTGATACAGATGTGTGTGGAAGGATAGGTTTTCTTACTGGCTTCTTAGGGAATCAAATGCATTACGGTGTCTTCAGACTGGTTAAGATTTTCATAGCACCTGTATTGTGTCTGGCACTTTACTTTCACTACTAGTGGCCTGAAAATTTTATTGCAGGCTTGTATTGGCACACTGATTTGTTAATTAAGAGTTTCACAGACAGAGAGACATTGCTATTTTGGCATTTATAGGCTACGGAAAGGTGTAACTTAGGAGAGGAGAAGAACATGTGGGAAGAAAAACTGAAGATTGATTAGTTAGATGAGTATTTTGAAAATTGAAGATCATCTGTGGAAAAGAGAAATTCAAGGAAGCACTTTGAGAAAGAGGACAGAAAAAGAAAATTAGAAGTAAACCGTAGAAAGGGATTTAGGCCAATTCAGAAGAGGTAAGTAGATACAGATTTATCAACATCAAATACTAAGAGTGACAAAAAATCACAGTTGACATTTATGGCAATTTGAGATTTGAAAAATGTTTGTTCTTAATATGTAAAGAAAAATACATTTTAAAAATGTGCTGGCAAGTGTGGACTCAGTATGCATCATTTTACAGCTGTGTAATTGATTGAAATTGATGTGTGACAAAATTGAAATGTGCTAAGTACATTTGTTAGAAAGTCTTTGATTTCATCTCTCTCTTCTCTGGAATACAACCAGTTTCTTCCTTATTTAGATTATATTGAGATTTCATATGGTTCTTTGATAAGGTACAAAGATAACTGGGTTTTTTTGTACTGTTTGTGTTTTGAAGAGTTGACTATACTGGAAAGGGAGACATGCTGTGCTCTCAGGTGACTGGGTGCACAGAGATTCACTGAGAGTTTAACCCTTGTGTAAACGAAGGCAGAATTTATCAGTTTAAAGCTTTGCATCATGGTTAAGGAAATAATTTTTATTCCATTTATGTGTTGGTCTCAGCAATTTAATTATTAGAAACGCTAGAGGATTTTCGTGGGTTTTTGCAAGTCGATATAGAGAAATGTTAACAGAACACCATTCCAGAAGAAATCCAAAGTCTGCGTCATCTGGATTCTTATGAATGAGGAAGGAGTTTTCAAGCATTTTTTGAAAACCTGTTGTTACGGTTTAGATCCTGTGTGCATACATAATTTAACTGATGTCTTGGGAGGATCTGCCTTCTAAACCATAGTTCTGGACAACTGTGTACTGTGAAGCAGAAAGTTCTGTGCCTCCCACACCTGAGAATGAGACACCCTCTGGAGGAGCCTCTTTCCC